CATTAGTCCCACTTTACTAGATGAGGAAGTAGTGTGTGTGTGTGTGTGTGTGTGTGTGTGTGTGTGTGTGTGTGTGTGTGTGTGTTCAGAGGTCAGGGATCAGGCCCCCAAACTCCTGAGCCTGGCTTAAAAATCACGAACTTCCAAAAAACAAGATGTCTTCCCCAGTTGTCACATTTTGTCCTATTCTCTATCCCTTTCCTAACAATTCCTGACATTCTGTTCGCTTCTTCGACTGCTGCTGCACATTGAGTAAAAACAGCAAGGAGTCCGGTGGCACCTTAAAGACTATCAGATATCTTTGGGCATAAGCTTTCGGGGTAAAAACCTCACTTCTTCAGTTGCCTGGGAGCTCAGTCATGGACCAGGACCCCATTGTGCAAGGTGCTGCACGAACACCGAACAAAGAGACGGTCCCTGTCCCAAAGTGCTTCCAGTCGAAGTGTGAGATAAGAGACAATCGATGGAGACAGGCAGAGCACAAGGAAACAACGAGACAGTATTGCTCAGCATCACAGCCATGGTCTCCGCACACCAGCAGCCTAACCATTGTCAAGCATAAGGGGCACAGAGGTACTTGTTGGGCAATATAACAAGCAGGCGATGGAGGCTGGCAGCAAGGCACCAGGAGGTGGGAGTTGACATCTTGATAGTCAATGAGAGACAATAGGTTGGGAGGGGAACTAACCATTGGAACAACGTCCCAAGGGCTGTGCTGGGTTCCCCATCACTGGCAGTTTTTAAATCAAGACGGGATGTTTTTCTGAGAGCTCTGCTCCAGTTCAACCAGGAGTTAATGGACAGCCGTTCTCTGGCCTGTGTGACCCAGGAGGCATAGCGGTAGTTTGACTTCTGTAGTCGGGGGGGGGGCCCAGCCAGACCAATGGGGCTGTGCGTGTGGGGCAAATTCCATGCCTGCCCTACCTTCTTCTGCCGCATACATGAACAGCCTGTCGGTATGAGTGGGAATCAAGTCAGCTTTGTTATCCGCAGCAGGTCCCATCGAATCGGTTTCAAGAACGCCCGGGTCTTCCTTCTCTAGAGTTCCACAGACAATCATGGCACGTTACAACATTCGGAGGTGACTCAGCGCGGCTTCTGCCGGCTGGGCCCAGGTGGGGATGAGGCGGAGGGGGATGCAGGAGTTAGCCGAAGTTCTCCAGGCTCTTGGTCCAGCACTCACCGCCTCGGCAGGCCTGGATGATGAAGACTTTGGGTTTGCCCCGCAGGGCTCGGCAGGTCTCGTTGGTCATCTCTGCGAACAGCTCCTCCAGCGACACCTGTTCTCCATCAGCTCCCTTCACTAACCCATGGCTGCCGTGGGCCATGAGGACAATGAAGCAGCAACTGATTGGACCTTCTCGGGCATCCAGGTCATTTCGAAACGTCACTAGCGCCTGCTGGAAATCCTTTGATGGGATGTAAGGGACTTTGGTCAGCGGCTGACTTTCTCTAAACACCATGAAAGGTCTTGGCTCCTGACATCAACCCACTCTTTCTACAAGCTTATAGAGGGGACAGTGTTGTCTAAGGGCTTTGGGGAGGGGGCTTCCCAGGGCTGGGTGGGGGAGCAGCATTGGCTGACTGGGTCTCACCCGGGGTCAGAGGGACTATACCAATTAACCTTAAGTAATTATAGCCAAAAGGCTGGAACCACAACATTAGTGAATCCTCTTTTCCCTTAAAAAGAACAGGAGTACTTGTGGCACCTTAGAGACTAACACATTTATTAGAGCATAAGCTTTCGTGGGCTACAGCCCGCTTCTTCGGATGCATATAGAATGGAACATA